GAAACTTTTTTAGCTTTCCTCATTGTTTCTTCAAAACATTTTTTCTTTTTTAATCAAAACAAACGACCGATTGCTGACAAAAAGCATTCGGATTTGAAACAGACCGTTCAACGGATGTAAACACTGCTAGAGTCAGAAATCAGCCTGGTCAATTATTTTCTTAGTAGACTAAATACTAACACCATTTTTATTCATATTTCATCAATTCGAGTCGGAGAATCAAAACAGAATGTATAATTGGCTTAGGGCAGAACAAGATAAGTCACACCAGTTTCAGCCAGCTTCCCGCTATTCGTAAATGTTAAAATGTTGATTTTGGTAAAAGTACGTCTGATATTGTTCCAAGCTCGTCGTCACCGTGAATAAGGCATACACGGTGATATCTTAAGGCACATTTTCACCAAAATCGAGATTTTAACATTTATGAATAATGCGATGTGACCGATGAGGGTTACCTTGCACTAACACTAAGCCCTTCATACAATATAATTACTATGGAGATGATTTCTATGCTCTAAAAATCTTGACATATGCTTTTAAAATATGCATTTATGACCTAAAAATTATGGAATATTCACTTTAAAATGCAATTAAAAATAATATTTCACTTGCTGTGAAAATAGTTAATGATGAAATTTCAGGATAAACAAGGACAAAAAAATATTTTTGTGCAAACAAAATCTGCATTTTTTTTGCTTCTACCGTATTTTTCAGGAAAAATAATTGTATATTTAATACACCTTAATAAAAAATATAATATCAAGCAATATCCTACATTTGCACAAATATTTTATTATCAATAGAAAATTAAATAAAATCCAAATTGTGACAAGCTCTTTCTAATTCATGAACGCTCACAAATAAATAGATTCTATGAATATATGAAAGTGTTCAGAGAGAAGTGCCTCTTTTTAACTAAATATGCAACATATGCGCCTATAATTACATGAATATGTACACATAGGGAAAAGCGATCAAACATGCACCAGCATATTTAACTACATAGAATCCCATTCTAACCAAATGTCAAGAAATATTACCTATTTATGCCCTGAAGCAAAACAAAAAAATGCACAATCATAAAAATTCGCTCCGTATTAATTACACTTCGTTATATTGCTATATATTTCATTAAATTATTTATTTTTTTATTGTATTTCGTTATTTTTCATTAAACAAATATAGTTAATATCCCACGTTTTGACGGCTTAAATTGATTGTTTATAACCAAAAAGTTGCCAATATCTTAATACTATTAGCATGACAATATTTAAAAGAAGTCGCCACGGTTTTGACACTCGCGCACATAAGTAAAGACCTGTAACTAAATGTCTTTTCCCTAAATGGAATTAAATAAAACTTAAAATAATGAATAATTAATTCTGTAACAATGCACAAACATTCATTCAAGAACACTATAATTCTCATCGATATTTCGTTCATCCTCTCCACAGTCAAGGCATTACCTCAACTCGTGCTGCACCCGGTTCTACTTTTATTCTACCTTATAAGTTGTATTACTCGTTTTCCGGATATTAATACACACTTTTCATTAACACCTACTAAAAATTGTAAAGTTCTTAGCTTTGACAGTTATGGTAATTTATTCTTCTATACTTTTCAACTCTAAAACAGACCACACTCATTTGTATCTACAACTTTCTATTGTTTCTCTGTAGTTCGATGATCTTGTTATTTTGTTTTTATTTGTTTTCCAGAAGACAACATTGGGGTAGGCATTTGTTACATTTAAACAAAACGAAGTTCAGCGTCTCAAGCACTATTTATCATTACAAACTGGCAAGGATATTATAAATATTACAAACGTAATTTAAACTCAAGCGAGAACAGCCATGGTAATCTTTTATCTAAGTGTAATCTCTGCCAGTCTGCAAGATGCTGTGGCAAGTTAGAAGCTCTTATTTCAAATGAGAAACGGACAATCGCTGTCTCACAGATTTAAAACCTGATTATTTAAAAAAGGAGCCTTCGGAAACTGAGAAAATAAAACTAGTGAACTTCTGAAGACTTAAATACTTTGAAGAGATAATGTTAAATACAATCAGGAAAATAGTGCGAAAAAATCAAACGTCTTCAAACAACTATATAAATATGTTTTCATGAAGTCAGGAGAATCTATCAATTCAAAAACTGTGATTTTTTTCAGGTTTATACCACATAGAATAACTCTCATGAATAATTCTTAGTACAAATTATCCAGAGGTTACAATCTACGACAAAATATGATAATTTGGCAGAAAAAAAGTCTCTGAAACTAGATTCTTCGGTCTTGACGAGCTCTCAGCATATTTTGTTAACTGTTTGCCAAGTCAAACAATTTCTTTCAAATGATCTCTTGTTAAAATTACTTCTGCACACAAAACACGCAATGCATTACGATTTCATTACTAATAATACTGAATTCCATTCAAGATCATGTTTGGAGTAGGTCATAATTTAGGAAAAGTTCTGCTAAAAAGTTTACAACCGTGGAAACAGGAAAATAAACACTTCTGTCTAGTGATACTACATTTATTCAACTATTTGAAGTCGTAAATGTTAGGACATGTGCAAATGAGCTTTAACGAAAACAAAGCAAATCCAATGCCTTCGATTAAACAGCAATACGACAAAGACGAATCTATCTCTATTCCGTGACTTACACAATGTTAAATTTTGTTCACTTGCACGGTACAAAACACTTCATGTTTTCTTAGCGGCAAAAAGGGATTATTCCCCGAAATTACCTCATTCAATAGCAATGGCGCGAGTGTTTTACCAAACAGGTGAGAAAGAACAAAGAATTAAACACAGTACACGCACGTGGGGGGCTAGTTCCGGACACAATCGTAAAATCTCCTCATAATCAAGACGCTGAAAATGATGATACACATGCTAATGAGGAACTAAACAAGAAATTCCACGCAGGTGAGCAAAACAACGCACACGCGATCTTGGCCCAGCCAGTTCTCACAGCCACAATTTCTCAGAGATTAGTAACAACTTCAGAAGCCGCGCTATTGCGTCTTCGCTTCTCCAGAATTGTATCAGGCATGCAAGTTTAAAGCAAGGCCCGCACGTAAATATTTGTAAATGTGCTCGATATTAGTACAATACAATGACCCCTAGTCCCTCTGGAACGTCTGGAATTTGCTTTAAAATAATGAAAGTTACTTTTATTAACTTCCCAACCAGATGAACTGCGGCGCATTTTACAATTGATCAAGTAATTTACTTATACACAAATTTAAGTGCGAGGGAGAAAGATGAAGCAACTCGATTTCACGACGCAAATTTTGCAAATTTGCGACTCGCAAATTTTGGAAACTGACCCGAACATTAAGGGCTAACGAACTATGAAAGAGCAAACTATTATTGCAAAATCTGCAACTTTCCACATGTTACTAGTTAAGTGAAATCAGTGCATCACACGTTTTATTGCTTATTGATAAAGCTAAACAAAATGCGAATAAAAAGATGTTTAGACATTTTTTTACTTCGCAAAAAATATACACTATGAACTTTACATCACCAATATTACATATTTTTGTACAATTCTATGTCAAATGTTCAATGAATAAAAAAACATAAACAACTTTGTTTTCATCAGGATTATTGACTATTTTAGTTTTAATAGCAGGAAACGATTGCTTTGCGCATTCAGTCAATAATTAACAAGACACGTACATTATTAGGGGAAAACAGAATGAAAACATTATCAATATAGGTATTTTACAGATCGATATTTAATCGCTTAATTTCTGTGAGATGGACAAATGTCACAGGATTGGAAATTGGAGGTTGCATTTTTATTCATTCATTTTATTAACTTTAAATCTGATAACAAACAATTAAATATTTACAACAAAACTCAATATTCTGTTTTCGAGTGAGATTGCAATTTCATAATTCTGTAATTACCATTATTAATTTACTAAACAGTGCCCAAAATATGTTGGTTCCCTCTTTAACTGTAATACTTTCTAGCATGAGCAAATATCTTAATCCCTCACACGTCAACTGCTTAGAAAGTTCATACGCAATCGAAATAACTGCATTAATTTAAAACTGTTCTTATTACTTCTTTTAACAGGGCTATTCAAGACATATTCATTTCTAAAACAGCATTAATTTTCAATGACAGCTGCATAGAAATGAAAGAATGACGCCCAGAAAATGGTTGGCTTTCCCACAACGGGGCTGAAGGCACTAGTGAAATGCTTGGCACAAGCATTCTGTTTTTTTAAAATGAACCGAACATTACAAAACAAATCGATTAATGTTACGATCTTTACAGCTAGGTATAACCTCCTTATTTGCAACAATTTGCAGCAAATAGAAAGGTATCGGAATCCGAATAAACAATGAACTGGGGTTTTAAAATTACTCTAATAATGCCAACTAGTGTCGCATAAGCCACACGACTCGTTTCTCAAAACAAAGAACACCGGCGTGCTCGCCGAACAAAGAAAATCCGATTTCGCGCGCCGAAACAAAAGCCACAACAATAAACAGCCTCGAAAACAATTTCGCAGCGCCATGCGCACCCTCGGACAGGCAACCAACATACGTCCATTGTTGACGTACGTGACAAAAGCGGAATTTCGGGACTGGAAGGGAACGAAACAAGGCAAGCCGGTCCGGCGTGAGGCTGCGGCGGCGGCAACACCGGGCCGGCGGCTAGGCCTAAAACGAGCGGGCGCGGGCGCGGGCCCGGCGGCAGCAGCGGCGGCGGAGGCTGCTGCAGCAGCGGTGGCGGCGGAGGCGGCGGCGGCGGAGCCCGCGCGGCGCTCAATACTCACAGCCGGCGCGTGCTGCCTGGGGAAAATGGCGCGACGGGGTTCGCGCACAGCCGCCGGCGGTCGGCGGGGCGCCCGGGCCGCGCCGTCCCGCGCTCACGCGCCGTGTCACCGCGCCGCGCCGCGCCGCGCCGTGCCACGCTGCCCCGGGCCCGCACGCCTGCCCGCCCGCACCGCGCCGGGCCGGGCTCGTCAACTCACCTCGCCTGCGCCTCGTCCAGCGACTGGTCCGTGATGTTCATGATCTGCTGCAGGATCTCGCCGATGTCTTGCCTGCGGGTCTCTTGGTCCGGCGTGGCGGGCGCCCCGTGGCTGGGATCCACAGGTTGTATCCCGTACGGCTGCGGCATCACGCCTACTTGGCCGCTCACGGGATGCATCATGCGGCTCTGATCGTCCATGCTCTGACAGCGGCGCAGACGGCGGTGGAAGAGAAGACGGGAGCGGCGACGACCGGTTCCTTCGCGGGCACGGCGACGGCGGGCGGAGGCTCCGGGCGGTCACACGGCACACAGCACTAGGCGCAGTTCACTGGTCCTCGCCAGCCTTCTCGTCGGCGGGCAGAGCGGCGAGAGAGAGAGAAAAAAGGAGAAAAAAATAAACGCCTTTATCCAGCACGACACTCCGGTTGTGAACGCACGGCGTCGTCGGGCCCCGCAGCCCGTTCACGCGCGCGCGGCGGCCGCTGCGACCTCGCCGATCACTAATAAAATATAAAGTCCGGCCACAATAGTTTTGACAGGCAGTAGGGGTCGCGCGGTCCCAAGGAGGAGGGCCGTCCGCGCAGCGGTATGCCACTCAAAGTCCGAACGCCATAAAACCTTCAGCCCAAGTGCCATTTAGGGAAGTGAGGCTTTGAAAACCGGCCAATGAGAGGCCGGCCCGGCGCGTCTGTTTCCGCGGCGGCCGCTGCCAATCACGCGACGCGCCGCCTCCCGCCGCGTGAGCCACGCGCGCGCGCGCTGCGTCGCCGCCGCCCCCCGCGCCGCCCCCGCGCCCTGCCGCTCCCGGCGCAGTGCCCGCACCGCCCACGCGCACCGCCCTGCACTTACCTGAGCTGCCCTGCGTCCATTTGCACTTAAAATCTTAACAAAAATCGAGTCGGAGACATGAACATCCCCACGAGAGCCTTGCAACCTTTTTGTCAGTCGTACCAACTCTGTCTCCGCCCACATGAGAAGCTCTTTCTTTATTCAATTTGACTCGCAACTTTACATCGCCTTATTTACTCTTAACTTTGCTCTCAAATAGAAAGGCGTTTAATATTATACCGTTATGCACGTTCTTTTGGGCTCCTTCGGGCGAATAAGTGGCAAAACCTCCATAAAAATCTTGTTCTTAAAACCAGAGAATGGCGCCCACGGGTGATTTACGTCAGCGTAAACCAGCGGACTGACAGCCAAGATGGCCGCCGGCCCCGTGCTGCTTGGAACCAAAACAAACGAAAATTCCCGTGGCAGCGTGCGGCCTGTGGAGAGGTTACAGCTCTGCGAAGGCGGAGTAGATCCAGAGGTCGAACGCGGGACTTAAGAGTATTACGAATGCGTACTTGTGATGTCACTTCGACTGAGAAACAGCTGTGAGGTGCGTCGCAGCATGAAAGTTTCGGGTCCTTATGAGTATAAACAGCTGTGCAATTGCAGATATAGCAGATATGTAACGACGAGCCTGTGGGAATTTGTGTTTTACGACGTGTTACGTATTATAATGCGGAGTGTTGTAATGTTTGAAGTGGTTGTTTTGTGCCCAAAAGCAGTGTTTGTGTGCAGATTTGGGAATAGGTTATACGGCATTATGGAATCAGAATTAAATATGACACTCCATGTAACCACCAGTGCATCGTGATAAAAATCAATAACGTGTTTGCGAGCGGTATTCGTGAGCAGGATGTTCATTTATTATTAATTTCTCGTTCTGACGTGATAACGCATGCAGTACTGATGAAGCCGCATAATTGACATTCGCTGGCAGCCGACGTGTCAGCGCTAGACGAGGCTCGTGATAGTGCAATTTCGCGTTCGAAACGCACGTAAGCCAGTCGGCACATTCTGCAGCAAATGAAGCAATTTTCATTGTACATTAATTCGGGTAGCTCGCTTGACTCGCGATGCCGCATTCCGCTGGTAGTTCGCGCGACGGCCGCCAGGGCGCGGCGGCGGCGCGTTTGCTGCAGTCGATACGATACTTATCGACCTTGGAAGCGCGTGTTGGCTGGAGGGAGCGTGGAGAGGGGGGATCCCGTGGGCTTTTTGTTGTGCAGGGCCGCAGATGTTGCCGCGGCGAAGGCAAGTCTGGCCACCCAGCCGGAGGGGAGATGTGGATGTGGGGGAACGGGGGTCGGGACGAGGCAAGAGGGTTGTGTGGATGCACCCTCGTCTTCTGCGGTAATTCGGCTTTTGGGATGGATGTAATGAATAATTAAATGAATAAAAACCAAAGTAAAATGTGTGCTTTAATGACGATTCTGGGTGAGATTAATGCGAGCTTCGAAAAAATCAACGTAAATATTACTCTTGAGTCTAACTTTTTTGCTAATACAAGCAATTACATAACGGAGCTAAGAGCCTTCCAGAATATTTGCAAGATCAATACCACGGATCAATATCACTATTAGGAAGTTTGGTAATAAAAACCAAAAATGAACTGAGCCAGCCAAATTTATTTGCATCATGTAACTTGCTGCTCTAATATTAGTTTTTATTAATTTGAAACCTTTTTCTCGCTAACTTTTACCTTTTATTCACAATCCTGCTTCCCAATTTCTGCTACAAAAATAAACATTCGAATTCAAAGCTCCCTCTTACGAAGGTCATCAATAAAGTAATTACTTGACCTCTCCTCTGTAACAAGGCTTCTACTTAATCCTCGTCTTTGTAAGGATTCAACAAAACGCAAGAAAATTTATTGAATTGGGGAGATATTTTGTTCCGTATTTATGTCACTACGGAACTTTTTCCCCCATTTTCTTGATATCTTTTAAAAATTTTCCCAATTAAACTATTTTCATGCGAATGTCAATTTGGAATGGGAAGATATTTTGTAAATATTCGGAGTATAATGTTGAGTGTAGGGTCTAAAGGCTACCCATTCTCAACCTTTCTGACACTTAAGTCCCACTCGTAGTATTTCAATCTGACTAATAATCAACCTATTTACAAATTTAGTGAAAATTACACTTGCTTATATAGTTCAGTACATTGCACATTGCACAACACATTCGAAACATAAACATTGCAATTATTGTATGTTCTATACAGAACTCGCTCCTTTGCGCTATGAGTTAAATATTGACATTTTACACCAAAGTAGAGAGTAAAAAAGTAAATACATACCTCATTACTATCACAATCCACCACGATTATAAACAAAATGTAAGAGTACACGTGATTAACTTAGAATCTTTATTCTTGATTTAATTAACAATATGACGAAAAGCTATCATTATCTGATCTTTTTACATTTCTCCAAAAACAATGTTAAATAATATTTTTATGCAAATGCGTGATAATTAAATTTGACCAGTCTTCAAATGAACATTTTTGTAATAAATTTGGAAAGAATAGCCTAGGACATTCGAATGTTATTTTTAAACTAAAGTAATCTATGGACTAGTTGAATCTGTTTTTTGAAAAGGTTACATTGCCAATAGCAATTCGACGCATGCTCGTTCTTCAAAAACCACGAATATCTGTAGACGTAACAGAACCATGATCGCTCGGAGTGTGTTCACGAGCAATGAATGCGTTGTTATTAAGGCAAGAATACAATAAGTATATTTATAAGAGATTTATATATTCTAAATGAAATACCTCATTTGCGCAAACACTGGAGAAGTGACTTTTGGAAACGATTAATTGAAATGGAGTATTTGGACAATTAAACCACTAAAAGAATACAATACTCCGTGGCACATACAATCTTCCGTGAACTCCGTGCACCGGGAGACCGGCTTTCAACGAAACGCCGAGAGCTCAGAGAAGAAAATGTTTTGGCAAATAATTCTGCACCGACTCAAAATGTTATTAATATTCTTCTTTCTACTTTGTTTTTCTCAATATAGTATTGTCGACAATTGTCGCATGAATTTCAATGCACTTTTGGCTTCATTATCAAGTATGTGCTGTAAAAATACTCGTATATAGTTTAAAATTAATTCCTAAAGTTTTGTGTCAACGGTTATCCAATTGGGAACTTCGATACCTAAAATTAAAGTCGTAACGAAGCTTTCAATGGGATAACAGCGTTCAGCTTGTCACTAGTCACTATTATTTAAATCGGACAATAGAAGAACGTTATGTTATTAAGTTCAGCTTCGAAGACATCATTTCGTTTCCCCGGGGTAATCAGTCCAATATTCGGCGTGGAGGTACGATTATATATATATATATATATATATATATATATATAATTAATTTTCGTACCTTTTCGAGTAATAAAATGTTCTTTGTTAAGATGAGGGGGGGGGGTATGTTTCCATGTGACTCTTATTGGATGAATGGCAACAGACACTTGATGTCATTTACTATCAACATGATGTGGCGATTACCTATCAATCATTTTCATGTTGCTGCTCCTGACTTACAAACGCAAAGGGAGGTGAAAATATAAAAATGATTATCCAATTATCCAATATGCTCGCAGACCTGTTCATCATGGAGAAGCTTCAATACCAAATTCGCCATTGAAGTAGACGAGATATTAACATTAAAGAAATTAGTGATACTAATGTGTCTCAATCTAATGAAAATGAATATATTTCTCAAGAAAATTGTGACCCTTGCCATAGATATCACACCTACAGCGAACCTTATTTTATTCGTCAAAAGGAAGTCAATAATTTAGGACAATTAAAACAAAAAAAGTAATTTCTCGACTCCATATTGCAAGAGAATATCTTCGCACAAGAAACAAGTGTAACGATCTTCCAAAGTGAACGTTGTAGTGGTGCTACAACGTTCTCTTATTAATAGCAGCCTTGAAATATTGTAATACTGCAATATTAACACATCTCAGTCATCAGTTGTAAAACTCATTATAATACAACGCTTTTAAATCTAATACGTCATCGGCAAAGACCATACAATTCATGAAATTCATTTATTTTTCTTAAAAAAGGCATGAAAGAGGCACTTTTTATAGCTAAAGTAGGGGTGCAAAAAGGAAAAATAACAATGAAAAATCACATTTAAATGGAATCATTGTAAAAAATTAACAATTAAAATCATTCACATTTTTATTCTAACTTTAAAATTTACGTTAGGACTTCACGTGTAAGAAAAAAGATATTTCCCTGGTAATGTCGATTCCTCATGCTTATACGGGATGACTGCAACGAATTTGTTTTATTCGCAACGCTCTCTCTTCGAAATGAAATTGTGTTCTCACTTTCGAATCTTGAAATGGTATCACGAAAACGGAATTACATTTGTTGTTGTTCGCACTTGTGTAATCGTCAGCACTGAAAACGGTGTGTTATTCTCGGGAGCAGAATGGATCGGAGGCCATACTCAAAAGTAGGAAGGGACTTCTCGTTAGTGAACAAAATC